CCGCATCCCGGAGGCGGGAGTGAGCAGTGGCTCGGGCTCCCCTTAGGGCCGCCCTCTCGCTGGCGGCTCTGTGCGCCCTGGCCGCCTCCGTCCTCGTCCCCCACCCCCACCCCGAGCGGCGATGGCGGGGATCAGGTAGAGGCTTTCCAGGTTGCACAGGCGCGTCCTGCTGGGGGTGCGTCTGCGCTCACTGGTTACCGCTGGGGCCGAACTGTGAAAGGTAGATTTCGGCCACCAGGGTTCAGAAGTGGGACAGGGTCAAGATCCCGATCTGCCCAGGACTCTTCGCTCCCCTGTTCAGAGCCTGGCCTCTGCGCCAGGGTGGGCTCCACACCCGCTGCCGTTACAACTTCTTCAACTTCTATAAATGAGAACTTGTGTTTAGAACTTCGAAGCCGCCAGCCAGGATGGTGTTTTTCCTGCTGGGAGGGTGGTTGCGGGGGAAGGGCTGGGAGACAAAGGAAACTGATCCGGATGTAAACAAAATCAGCCTGGTGAGGTGCTTGTAATCTTGCGGAAGATCTTGTCTGCACTATGACTAACTCAGATTTTTACCAAAAAGCAACTGCAACTGGTAGATAAGATGGCCTGACTTGAAAGTACTCCCCACTTCCCAAAAAAGGGGCAAACATCCTTTCAAAAAATGACTTGTTCACCAATATTTTACGTTTGTTCCTTTTTTGGAAAAGCAGAGAGCATTTGTATCTTTAAACTTTTTATAATGCACCTATTACGTAACTTGCCGGATGTTGACAACATATTTTGGAAGTTTCTAAGCTGTCAGTTAATTTTTTTCATTATTGTATTTAAGAATTTGATGTGCTTGGTTAAATATCTTGTTTTGATTTTAGTGATGGAGCATAATTTATTGTATGTGACATCCTGAGTGTGACCTCCTCATAAAGACCTTTTAGTAAATCTAAATTGTATTCGTCCTCCCAAATAGGCTTACTTGTCAAAAGTGTTTTTATCTTCACAGTATCATTTAAAATTTACATAACTTTTTCCTCATACCAAAAAGCCTCATCCGGGTTTCTGAGCGTTGTCTTTTTTCTTATCTACCATTACATTAAAAAATTCAATTATTGCTTCTTGTTGCCTACTCTTACCAGGTTTATTTTCCATATTGCTGAAGAACATGTTTTCGGGTACTTCTTTCAGTGAGGGTCTGTGGATAATAATTCTTTTTTAGGTTTTGAATGTTTGAAAATGTCTATCTCATCTTTATTCTGGATGACGATTTGTTTGTTAATTAATTAATTTTTATTGAAGTATAGTTGATGTATAATATTGCATTAGTTTCAGGTGCATAGCAAAGTGATTTGGTTATACATATATACTCTTTTTTTGACTCTTTTCCAGTATCGATTATTACAAGAAATTGACTATAGTTGCCTGTGCTATACAGTAAATACTTGTTGTTTATCTATTTGATATATGGTAGTGTGTATCTGTTAATCCCATAGTCCTAATTTATCCCAGCCTCTTCCCCTTTGGTAAATTTGTTTTCTATGTCTCTGAGTCTGTTTCTGTTTTGCAAAGAAGTTCATTTATACTATTTTTTAGATTCCACATATAATTGATATCATGTAATATTTGTCTTTCTCTGTCTGACTTATTTCATTTAGTATGATAATCTCTAAGTCCGTCTATGTTGCTGCAGATGGCATGATTTCATTCCTTTTTATGACTGAATAATATTCCATTCCATTCTTTATCTTGGATGGTAATTTAAATGGGTATAGACATCTAGACTGACAGGTATGTTTTCTCAGCCCTTTGAGGACATTATCACACTGTTTTGAGGCTAGATGAGAAATTTCTATTCTTTTTTTGCTTGAGATTCAATATGCATTTGAAATTTGGGAATTTATGTGTTTCTTCAATTCTGAAAAATTCTTAGTTGTTGTATCTTTTAATATTTGGTCCCATATCAGCACATGTGGCAGGCTTGGGTTCTGCTTTCCTACGAGAGAGAGGTAGCAGGCTGGCTTCCAGCCAAGTGGAGACCCTGGGCAAGAGGGCAGAGATTTTTAAGGTGTCTGTTCACGTATGGTGTAGCCTTTTCCCTGCATGTGGCTCTATGGAAAGCCCACTTTCAGTTCTGTATCATGCACTGGGTCAGGAGTCCCTTCTCCACTCCAACTTCCCCCAGACATCACAGCCCTCATCCTAAAGTGGGTGTCTGGCTCGGGTTTCACTCTGGGGCACAGGGCTGCAACTTCCTCTTGGCATGAGTCACCTTTAGCACCAGGCTTACTCCTCAGACTTCCATCTTTTCCTGAGTCTTGGACCAATAATTCCTCCCCACTTTGTCAACTTTCTGTATTCCTTAAGCAGGTGATTTTTATATTTTGGCCAGATCCACGACCTCTGTTAGATCTGACACCACTCAGTCTAACTTGAGCCGTCACCCTTGCCTTGCTCAGTGTCATACACTGAGGAGTTCTCTGCCCCGTGCTGTAATGTACTGGGGAAGCGGGAGAAGAGATAGGTAATTCTGATCTTCAGTGTCAAGTCATTAACTGTAGTTCTGGCATCACTGATAATTTTTATTTGTTGAAAATCCACCATGCAATAGGTACCAAATAATATCTGTATCAAATAGCCCAAGATCTCTGCTCTTATAAATTTTATCTTTTAAAGAGAAAAGGCTAGAAAAATTAAAAATGGATGTGTTTGACATTAAATCTTAGCCAAAATTGATATAGATTTCTTAAGATTTGTGCAATATATTACAAAAATGGGGGAAAAAATCAAATAAATTTTGGTTGCCCAGAGCAATTATACTAAGAGGATTTTTTAATGGCTGATTAAGCAGAAAGACAACGGGATAGATATAGTACCAGACAGCAATAGGCGCCTCATCTTAACCCTGTCAATTTTAGAGGTGGGTGCAATGATGGGTGGGTAGCCCCTGGGGGTTAGTTTCCATTGTCTGCTGTTTCTCCTCTTCTCATGCTTAATGCCTTGCTTCCTTTCATGCCCAGTTGTTTTTTATTTTATTCTCGGCATTCTATTTGAAAAATTACTTGTAGAAAGCAATGTGAGGCCTAGGATAACGTTATCTTCTTTGAGAGAAAATCTTCCTTTGCTTCTGTAGGTACCCCCGTTCCAGAAATAACCGTGGTCCGTTTTCAGAGACTGAAGCAGTCTGAGCCATCCAGGTAAAGCAAAGCTCTGCTGCAGTTTACCGGAGGGCTTATTTTCTGAAGTTCAGCCTTACCTGTCCCATCCGTGACTGCCCCAGGCCTTAACCTCTGACTCCTTGTCTTCCAAGGTTGTCAGAAGTGCCATGCACCCTATCAGACTGTGCTGACTGTGTTCATGGTGATCAAGGACAAGACTGGACATTTTGGCAGAGAATTTGAAACTATAAGAATGACGTAGCAGATGCGAAAAAGAACCCAATGGAAAACAGATAGATGAAAACTGTAATACTGCCATGTGGATCGTTTCCCCTAAATGATCTTTTAAAAAATAGTGCTGGGTCACTCAAACGCTGCTCCCTGCACTTAGTCCTCTGCAGGAAGAGAAGCTTCTCGTGGTCTGATTGTCCCTCGTCCAATAAACCACCTTGCTCTCCCAGGGGTTCTCAGCATCCCTCCTGCCCGCTAGTTGGAGGTGCAAGACAGGTTGGCAAGCATGGAACCTTCTTCTCTGGGTTAAAGAGTGGGTTCCTCCTGGATCTGCATTCAGTGAAAGTTGTCCAGTGAGAGCCGTGGTCTGGCTCTGTTAGGCCTCTAATTCTGAGGGGTATCAGGAGGTATCCTACATAAGGTTTGAAGTGTAGGAAAGTGTAGAAATAGGTGGTTGTACATCCGTATGCTTAAGCCCGGCCCATTTCTTAAACTGCTTGCTCGTTTACTCCTCCTTTCATTCATTTACTCGTTCTTTCAACCCACGTTTGGTCCCGATCCACACTCCCAGATGGAACTGTGCTTTTAAGTCATGGCTCAGTGGCAGTCTGTCTGTGTTAGTGTTGCTGGATGTGCCAGGGAATTCATTTTTATTTCACCTATTATATACTACTTCCTTAGTTTCGTCCGTTC